GAATATTATTTAATTGAAGATAATTATTTATCCACAACATGTAATATAATTGAAAATTTTCAAGAAGAATTAGTTCAACCAATTCATACATTTTTTGAAATAAATGGTCATCATACAATTGAACAAGGTATATTTTTACAACCAACAGTAGCTGAACTTTATTCAAATGAAACAACACGTTTAGCGGCACTTTTACTTATTGCACATGAACTTGGTCATGCATTATGTCCATGTGGAATAAATCAAACTGAACGTGAATATTTTGCTGATTTAATTTCACTTCAGCTAATTATTAATTATAATGAACAACAATTAAATAGAACATTAACATCGAATGATATTAAAAAGTTTTTTATTACATATGTACAATCCGAATGTACACATATTAATCATGGTATTATTTCATTAATGAATAAACAAAAAAATTTCATTGAATTACATATTAATAGAATATTACAAAAAAATGAACAATTTCAAACAATATTTAATTGTTCATTAAATCAAAATAGACAAACAAAAACAATCAATAGTTTATTACTTGAACTATGTGTAACATGTAGAAAAACGAAACATTAGTGTCGATTACTTTTTTTGATAAAATATTATATTATTTGACAAAAAAAAAACAACGAAAAATTGATGAAATCAGCTATTAAATAAGAAAAACATACATATATATATATATATATTTGTCTAAATAAATTGTGTTTTGCTTATAAGTTCTTTTCTTTTTGAAAATAAATGTATGATAATTTCTTGCCTTGTCTCGATGATATATAAAAATTTTAAAAATATACTTTGGCTGTTTATGTGGGTCTGGGTATTATTGTAAATGAGAATATTGATACGGTAAAGACTGGCACCCACACATCTCACCTTTAGTTGTTAGCTGTATCTGTAAAAAATGAAACGTATTTTCATGACACGAACAGGTGGCGGCTAGAAAAAATATACAAAAGTAATGAAATGAAAGAAGTTAGTTTTTATTTTAAAACACTATTTGAAAATTAATTATAAATAAAATTTGTCATTAAGTGGATTGATTTAATACGATATTCTTCATGCAAATTTTTTTTTTATCATTTCATATTGTGGTTCAATATTAACATTTGTAAATCGAATGACTTTCGATATTTGTTTTGAAGTAGAAAAATATGTAATACTGTTTATTAATTCTCATAATTTATTATTTTCAGTTATTCACCGGACACGTTTATATTTCTTATACTTTGGGACCCATTGCAATAGTCAATTATTCATTGTTGTACAAAACAAGTAAGTCTTGGGTTTTCAATACTTTTCAAAGTCTACCGTTAACTGCTGATTAACTATATAAGCTGAATGCATTGTTGTTCATCAAGAGTGAGAAATGGAGAGTGCTGAACTCCCTTCTAGTTAATGGAATATCTGCCAAAATCTTAAGTAATTATCTGAAAACTGCCCACCTTATTTTTAGTCCTTCCGTTTCTAAAAGTGTTTGACACATACGTTCCCAATTTAATCCTTTACCCCGTATGGTGGTTTCAGAAGAGTAGCTCATAAAATAATCACATATATTGATTACTACTCCTCCACATATGTCAATTGTAGGCTGTGGGAATGGGTGTAGGCGTCGGTCTTTACCCTATCAATATTCATATATACAACAATACTTACATACACACCCATCCACCCCCTGAAAATTTTGNAAGAACATAACTAATTATTACTATTTATTCAAATATCGTATGAAACAAACTTCTGAAAATTTTGTAATGTATGATTTGTCTATTCCATTCTTGATAGTCCTTTTGAAAATTTTCAGAAGTTTGTTTCATACGATATTTGAATAAATATTAATAATTAGTTATGTTCTTGTAAAACAATCATATCTCCAGTTCGAAAAAGAAATTGAGAATTATCGAACATTGAAGAAATTAACAAATTAAAGAACTTGAAGAAAATCATCAATATTCTCGGAACCACAAGGTATTATATAGATTTTATATTTTTGACTACTAGTATTTTTCCGTACTATCATAGTGAATTGTTTCAAAAGATATTTTTAAATCACAGATAAGTTTATTTTAACATAAGATAAGATATATAAGATAACAAAGAAAAGTACAAATCAAAAACTTATTGAATAGTAAAAATAAACATTTGTTTACAAGTAATTATTATTTAAAAAAATAGATATTACGAATGACAGCAATTACTTTTCTGAATTTTTGGTGAAGCTTGTTCTTTAATTTCAATTATTTCAGAAAGTCTTCTTCTTACACCTTTCATAGTATCAATATTTTTCATTATCTAGAAATATTAAGAAAAAATCTTAAAATATAATAAAACTTGTTTTTTTTTCTTCTTACTTCTTCAACAAGAAATAAAATCGATTCTCCAATATTAATATTTTCTTTTGCAGATGTTTCATACAAATGATTAAATTTATGATTATGACAAAATTCTGTCATTTGCGCTTCATTTGCTACAACTCCTTCTTTAACTAGATCACACTAAAATTTAAAAAAAAATAATTTCATTCTTTTATTTATTTAATGTTAAAAAAAAAAGAAATTTTTACTTTATTTCCAATTAGTAAACATGGTACTGGATTATGATCATCAATATTAAGTTTGTTATCGAAATCAACTTTCCATTTTACAGCACCACTTATTAAAGTCAATGGTTTTGATACATCAAATACAATTAAACATCCAGCTGCATTCTTATAAAAGAGATGTGTCATACCTCCAAATCGTTCCTCACCAGAAATATCCTATTAAAATAATATTAGTTAAAAAAAATTTGTTTTTTGTATCTTTCTACAAAACCCATATATGAAGATTAACAGTAATATGATCATTATATTGAATTTTTTTAAGAGCTATATCAGTACCAATCTAGAATGTTTTATTTATTAATTAATGTTCTTATCAAAATTTAAATAACATACCGTACTACGATAAATTCCTGAAAAACTATTATTAACGTAACGTTGAATCATTGCTGTTTTACCAGTTCCCCTTTCACCAATAACTAAAATTTTCAATGTATATTCTTTTTTTCGTTCTTCGACAGATAGGGTTCTAGTTTGAGATATAGAAATCGAAGGAGAACTTGTTGTTACTGAATTTCTATGTTGAGTAATCTATAGAATTCAAATAAAGAAAAAGTCAATATGAACATCAAACATATCTATACTTCATTAATTAAAGTTCGAATCGATTCTTCAATATTTATATTATCTATATTTGATATTTTATAATAACCACAAAAACCAATCGCTTGACAATAATTATCCATACTAGCCATAACACTATTTAATCCTTGATCTTCTTCTAGATCACACTAGAAAAATATTTAGAAAAACAAAAAAGTAAATTATTGATTCTTATCCAACTAACTTTATTTGCTAATAATAAACATGGTAAATTATTTGTTTGTTTTACACTATTAATAAATTTTTTCCACATCATTATATTATCATATGTTTCTGCACGTGTTACATCAAACATAATAATATACCCATCTATATTATTAATGTATGTTTTTATTTTTGTTTTACCACATTGTGAACCAGATATATTCTAGAAATAATTATTTTTATTAAAAAAATGAAAATTTTCTTTTTTTGTTACAAATTCTTTACGATAATTTGTATTGGAATTTCGGTATGTTCATCAAGTTTTATTTTAGTTGAAATAATGTCATATTCTTCCTATAATAAATATACTTTATTGAATAAAAATTTTGATGAGACAATGAAAAACAAAACCAGAAAAGAAAACATATTACTTACATTTTTTCGAGTATCATTAGAGAATACATTATGTGTAAGCCTTTTTACATAACAATATTTACCTGTTGCACTATCACCAACTAAGAGAATTTTAAGTTGATCAATTACAAAAGATGATGATGAAATCATGATCATATAGAAATTTAAGATTCTTTATATTCTTTTGAGTTAAAATAAAACATGAAAAACTGGTATATTTATGGATGATGGTAGAGATAAGAATAGAAGACGTCGCATGTTAGAAATGAGTCACAACTATGAATCAAATAGTTCACGTGTTTACCAAATTTATATTTTTATTACTTATGAAAATATGTTAATAGTCTGTTGGATAATTAAAATATGATCAAGATTTATGAAACATATATTCGTATTTTAATAGAGATCAGCAACAATGTTTAAAACAGAGAAAATAGGTCATGACGAACGATTTCTTTGCTATTTTTGATTTATTTATGGTAGAAAGTTTTTATTTTTAAGTGTGTTGAAAGAATAAATTTGAATTGCGTATCAAGAGATAAAGTTATACATCATAGTCGAAAATGATGTTATTCGAGTCTTTTATCTAAAAGTAAGCCATTGTACACTGATTTATCTAATAACAAAAACTATTGTTCGTGTCAAAATAAAATGTACCTCGATATTTTTTGAATATCTTGAGAATGAACGTACCTAGAAACCTGCAGGATTCACCATTTGAAAGAAAAATGTGAGAAAGTGCAACTTTATTGAAAGCCTTGAAATCAGTCGATTGACCACTGGCCACTCTAAACTTTATTGAGTTCGTTGCATTCGTCTACACTGACTCCAATGGTAGTATTTAGTGTTTAGTTTTAATATGGCCGTAAATTCATGGATTATTTTTTTCCAATTCAATCTGTACCAAACTTTTAACATTAGATGGGCTATTTTAAAGATTTTATCTTTTCAACTTCAGATCGTTTCAAAACTAAAAACAAATAATAACCATTGAACTCAGCGGTCTGCTTGACCAATCTATAGCTCAGATAATTCAGCTAAATTTCATTTCTCCCATATTTCTCGTTCGATTGGCGAAAATCGGTGGTTTCTAGCTATTTTTTGTTTTCAAGATATTCATAGAAATTTCATCGGTAATTAATTGATTCGATATGAATCTGTATCTGATATTAGATTATGTTTAATCTGAGTTGATTCAATATTAACTTCAAAATCAATATGAATATGATAAATTACTTAGATTTATTATTGTTATAGTTTGTAGCACATAATATATTCTAATTACAGAAGAAAATCATAGTCTTGAATATTCAACTGTCACCTCCAATGTTTACACATATAAAATTTAGGTCAAAAACATTATGTTCAATTCGAAATTGAATGAAACTAAACATTATACACTAATCATATCATATATATTTTCTTAAATATTATTAAAAATGTATTGCATGGCCATTGCATCAATATGAATACGAATGTTAAAGTAATTTGAATGAAATGAAAAATCTTTATTTTATTCTATTGTTCATAGATTTTGAGGAGACATTCAAAAAAATACTGTCAATAATAAACAAACTTTTCTTCAGCTAATGACTTAGTTTTTCTATTATTAATCTAAAACTTAGTCAATTACTAGAATGCATGCACCTCATTAGAACGGACTTTTTATGTATTTTTGTTGTCACTCTAGTATCTCGACAAAAATATCAAATAAATGAACTCCAGTTTACTGACCTAGTCAGCACATGTCTTGTCTATCTATTCGTAAAAGAATTTTTGAAAAAGACTGAGAAATAATCCAGCTATAAGTGGTAGAATAAAATAGATTGATTGTGTTCTGAATAGGTGCAACGTTCTCCATAAGAACTCCAATGAACAAGTTGCACCGATTTACAATGCATCAGTACAAATGCATAGAAGAATATTCTTCTATGCATTTACATGCGTGCATCCAGCTCAGTGCAACTTTTGTATTAGAGTTCTTGTTGGGAACATTGCACTTATTCAGAATGTAATCAGTTTATTTCATTGTACTGCTGATGACTGGATTATTTCTCAGTCGTTTGCAGAGATTCTTTCATGAATATATAGACAAGACATATGCCGATTTGATTAGTAAATTGCAGTTCATTTACTCGATGTTTTACTGATATAATAGAGTGAAAAAAGGAAAATATAAAAAGTCCGTTCTAATTAGGAACATGCATTATACCTATTAGCTTTTTATAATCTTACTGGACATTGATCGATAACGCTCGCAATTTTTTTATTCAAGCCTGTTGATGCATAGCATTGCCTTTACATTTAATGCTCATGCATAAGTTGCATAAAATAAAAATAACGTAGTTTTAATATGAACAATATGACATTATCTTCGTTATCATGTTCTTGTCGTTCTGCGGATAAATATTTTTTTTGTTATATTCTGCAGTAAAAAAAGAAACACGCAAATAAAAAGAAAGTAAGTATTCGACGATAACACAATAGTAAAAAAGTAAAGGAGACATTTATAAAAAAAAATGCAAGAGCAACATATAATCAAATGGTTGATATTATTTATGACAATTGTCGAATGTGTTCATAGCTTTGAAATATTTATTAAGAACACTAATGATAACAATGATCAAAATATTGAAGAATGGAACATTATTAATAATAAAACTTACGAAATATCTCTTTTTCAAACACGTTATATCACAATACGTATTAATCCAGATGACCTTCATGGTAATCGAAATATCAATGATCATAATGTTATAGGATTTAAATTCCAAGTAAAATCAACAGATATACGAGTAGTTGATGTTCAAAAAGAAGTTATGGTACCAACAAGAAGAACAAATGAAAATAATTCGCATAGTATTCTACTCGAAGATTTATTTATCTGTAAGTTAATAATTTTCCCAATACTTTATTCGAATTCAAAAGAAGTTTAAATTAGATTTTCTTTATATCTGATTATTAAAATATTTTCAAATACATAATGATAAAAAGAAAAACAGATCATTTTCTCATTGAGCGATAACCAACCAAGTTATAAGTCTTTCTAAATGAGTAAATGTTTTCTTATGATAGAATTACGACAAGTTTTCATATTTTAAAATTGATAAAAATTCAAATATGTTTATTTGCCAACAGGAAGATCAGTAAACATTTTTCGATAATTACGTAATCCGATACGGAAAATCAATCCGATAAACATATTCAGCACGGACGATTATGACTGTTTTTGTAAACTTGTTGCTTACGATAAACATCGGGCGATTGATTTATGAAATACATGTAAATAATAGATAAAAGTATTTAAGAAGCACTCCAAGAATATACATGAAATAACTATTGATAAGATTTTTATGATTCTCACATCTATTAGTCATACCCATTGGGTTGTAATACATATACAATAAAAAGTAATTGATACTCAAGTATTTCTTTATCATGATTACAGATATTCATAATCCTTTTTACCTTCTTATCTCTATGTTTTCGCTTTGAAAATATAGTTAAATGATTTGTTTCTTTTCCAAAAAAAAACATACCTGGAAATTTTATTATCAATTTAAACAGAACTTTATTTTAATTTCTAGTACCTAGTAAGAATGCACTTGGTCATATTTTTAATGCATATCCATCACCTACATTAATTTATCTTGGAAATTCAGCTATTATTGATGTAACATGGTCAATAAAAAGTACTATGATGGAAGTAACAAATTTAACATTTTCGTTGGATATATTTTATAATGATGATTCAACATCAACATATACATGGCCATTAAATATTCTTGTTACACAACCAAAACGTATAATTGATAGATTATTTTATATAATATTACCTTTTCTTGTTGTATTTATTTCAATACAAATGGGTATATTACTTGATACAACAATTTTAATGGATCTTGTTAAAAAACCAACACCAGTTATTGTTGGTTTTATTTCTCAATATGGTCTTATGCCATTTTTAGCAATGGCTATTGCAAAAATTTTTCATTATTCACCGTTATATAGTCTTGCACTTTTTATTATTGGTTGTTGTCCAGGTAAAATAAAACTTACATAAATATTTTCTTCTACAAAGAAAACAAAAACAAAAACAAAAAACAAATTCTCTTTTTTTTTCTTAGGTAGTGGTGCTTCAAATCAATGGACGCTTTTATTTGATGGCGATGTTAATCTATCAGCTCTTATGTCGTTTGTATCAACGGCTTCATCCTTTGTTATGATGCCACTTTATTTTTATACAATAGGACGTATTTATATGAAGGAATTATCAATAGATGTACCATTTTTGGGTCTTCTTCGTTCGTTAGCACTTGTTGTTGTACCATATAGTATTGGCATTGGTATCAGTCATGTTTCACCAAAAACTCGTGCTTTTGTTGAAACTCTTGTTAAACCCATGATGTTATTTCTGTTAATATTTTTTCTTGTTTTCGGCACGATTGTTAATTGGTATTTGATTATAACAATTGATTTATATACAGCATTAACAGCACCATTATTACCTTATTTAGGTTTTATATTTGGTGCTGTATTGGCATGGATATGTCGTCTTAGTTGGTCTCATATAAAAACCGTTGGTATTGAAGCTGGAATACAAAATACTGGTATTGCATTCATGATTATGTATTATTCATTTCCACAACCTTATGCAACAAAAGCCATTGTTGTACCACTAGTTGTAGCTTTTCTAACAACAAAACCATTTTGGCTTGCTTATGTGATACGAAGTCGTTATATTAAATATAAAAAAAGAAAAGAATTGAAAAAAAAACAAGATTTAACAACAAAAGTAGATAATAATAATGAAATATTAATTTTAGGACATGAGAAGCCATATATAAACAATGAACAAAATAACATGAACGAAGACTATGCTGAAATGATGGAGAATTTTGTAAAATAGAAATACGAACAAAAAAAACTACAAATCGATCAATTGTTATTGCTATTTGAGTTATTTTTAATACTTTTTCATTTTTTTTTTCATTAATAATGTTTGTATTTGTACTTGTCTATATGTTTTGTTTGCCCGTGTCGATTTCTATGTTTGTACTGATTTTTTCCTCTCTTCTCTCTTTATCGTTTTTTCTCCTCACTGATTTTTTTTTTATTCGAGTAATCAATAAAATAATAGTGAAAGTAAAGAAAAAGAAGCAAAAAAAATAAACCTTAAAAGATAATAGAATCAAAAGTTAATAGAATTCTTTGTCTGATTTGTGTATAAACGACAATGAACGCGGTTGATTCACATCAACAATTCAAATATGAATATATTGCTGGTGTATCTTTAGTAAGATTCGAGTTTTTTTTTTATGAGAAGTAATTTTTTTCTTATTTAGTCAAACGATCTTCATCGTTTGAATCAGGTTAATTTTAAAAAAAATGCAAACTAATAATTCTTAGAAGTTCTTTTTAATTTTATCGTTTCTTTTTTTGAAAAGATCAATTTGAATATGGGTACAAATAAAGAACGTCAATTATTTCATAGTAAATTTAATAATAAACAAAATCATATGTCATCTGTTCAACATGTTGAACAATCTGGAAAAAAACAATTAGAAATAATTGGTTTAGAATTAACACCAAAAATATCATCGAATACAACGGATCATCACTTATTTATTAAAAAGACAAATTCTTCTATTGATTCAAAAGTAAAATTAACTAAAGTTGATCAAACAATGTTACAATTACCGAAAAGAGCAACATTTATAGCAAACCGAAGAGTAGCGGAAAATATTTTTCCAAGGTAAAGATTAAAATAGAATTTTACCATCGATATTAGCATTAATGGTTAGCGGAAGTGGAAGAAAAATAAAAAAATTACAAATTTTTTTTTCTATTAATTCATCATATAGGAAAATGTCTACTTTATTCATCTTTGAATAAATCGAAGATATTGAAAAAAAAATCGGAAAAGTGAGTTATATATATGTGCCTAAGTTACTAAAAACATGTTAATTATTTTGAAGTAGTTTACACTGAATTAGTTCTTTGATGAATATTTTAAATTAAGTTTCAAAATATTGAACGGAAAATAAAATAAAAAAGAAGTCATTTTCCCAGAATTTCAATATTAATGGAAAAAAAAACTATATTTATAATAATATCATGAATGAAATCAGAATGTTACTATCATTTTGATAAATATCAAATGGCTCACGAAATCCCCATGGGATTAAAATATGAAACATGATGGAACTACTGACATTATAAAAGAGAAAATTCATCAACGTATGTTTCCGGTTGTCAATAACCACTCACTGTTTATGTATGTTAATGATCAACGAAGTCTATCGTGATACATTATAGTGCACGTGAAAGAAAAGAGATACTCTGTTAACAAGATGTCTATCAAAAGTTCATAATGAAGAAGAAGGGGGCGTTGATAAGGTGTCTACTACATCTGTGTGGAACGGAAGGGGGTCAACTTTCTACTCCTATACTCCAACATTCTCCTTAGATCGTATTTCACAAAGAGAAATATTAATTTCAAGATAAACTATTATTTTTCTCATTATTTCATATGAGTGTAAGAAATAACTTCATTAAAAAAACTTTTACATTCATTTTCAATAGAGAAATACGTAATACAGAGAATCTATGTATTACATTATAAATTTTGTTCGATAAGTAAATATTTATAGAATATAAAAAAAATTGTTTCTTTAATCTTTCATTCAATAAAATATATATTCAATTTTTGTTCATAGAATAATTAACCAATAGAAATCTTTCTTCTCAAAAAAAAATTCTTAAAAATTTCATTTTCAATAAAAGAAAAACATGAATGCTCTCAAAGATACTCAATGGAATAAAAAGAAAAACATAATCAATTTTATTTATTTCTACTTGTAGAACCTTAACGTCACATTCATTGATTTCATCTAATCTTCCAACATCAGATAAATCAACTACAGTTTCTTCAAATCATCGAACAAATACATCAATACAAAGTTCAGATGATGTAGGTGAGCGTGTGTCACAGCCTTTTTTCTTTGTGTGTAGACTGAAGTATGTTTATATACAATCTATGTTTTTTTCTTACATTCACTTGTTTCCATTAAATGTAATGCATACGTATGTCTATAAGAAGGTAAAATAACTTAACATACATATGCTCACAAAAACGAATTCTTTTTACGTTTAAAAACGTAACTAATAGTTCTTTTTTTCTTTTTCTAATGGTATTTTTTTTTTTTTTGATTATTTTAAGAAATCAATTATGACACAACGAACGCAATCAAATTTAACATTAAATTCCTCTATAACAGTTTTAAAGAAAATGCCAACAACTACTAATCAATTATCACCAAGATCATCAAAAAAATCTCAACAATCTCTTGTAAATTTAGGACGAGATACAACATCAATCAAATTGCCTACATTAGTAAAACGAACAGCATCATCAAGTAATATATAAAATGAAATCATACGAGAGAAAAATTATGAAATTATTTTAGTTGTCAAACCAATACCATCAGCATATATTCAAGATTCATTGTATGTTTTAGATTTAATATAGACTTTAATAAATATTTAAAATTTTCAGACACCTTCAAATACCTTCTTCAAATTTTACAAATCGATCAATATTACAACCAACACCAATTCTACCAATTTATGCACCTCATCGTTCAGTAACATTATTTGCTGAGCAACAACATTTACCATTAATAAAAGATCGTATGATCAAAGCTAATCTCTCACAAAAAGCAAGTTTTAAATGTAAATCACCAACTTGTCGACCAGATAGTTCAATTAGCCGTTCAACCACTGCTGTTGTTACTGCTTCTCAATTAAAAACAAAAACACACAATCCACTTAAGGTATAGGATATTCCAAAACTCTATCGGGAAAGTTAATGCAAATATCTCTTGTACAATTCAAGTAATTTAGTTTGTAAATGCATTGTTTGAAGTTTTCTTCTGTATATGTTCAGATAAATGTCTATGTCTCTAAATGTTGAAACAAAAATAGTTGCATAAATAACCAAATTTAAGTAACGTATAATTGTGAAACGAAAACTAGAAGTCGTTCATTTCAATGGTTTTGTGAAACTGGTACAGTGAAAGATCAAGAACGCTCTGAAACTGTTACAAAGGCTTGCTTTTATTCTTATGAATAAATTGTACCTTGTACGGTTTCAATGACAAGTATTTAGTCATAATTCAGTGCCCTGTCATTAATGAAATATGAGCGGACCTTTGCGATAATTCGATCGCATGATTGTAGTTCCTTTTTCACAAACATGATGAACTTTATTGACTTTTTCTTCTGTAATTTTTGACGATTTTTCCCTGTACCAGTTTCACAATAGCATTGAAATGTAACTTTAATACAAACTTTATTTGATGTGTTTTTGCCAAATTCGATTTGCAACTTTCGTTTCACAACGATACAGGACTCAAATTTGGTCGCTTCAAACAACATTCTAACAAACTAAATCACTTGAATTGATATTTACGCTAACTTTTCTGACGCACTTGTGGGACAATGTATATTTATCAAATCAATTTTGAATTTTGTCTTATTTATAATTTCAATTAAAATTGTTGTTTTTTTTTTTGAATAGTATATGGATGTAGGTTTATTACTCAATGAAGCAGCACGAAATAGATTGAAACGATTATTTCAACAACTTGATACAGATCGAGATGGGTATGAAAAAGAATATTCTTTTCTTTTTTTTTAAATTATGACTATTTCTACATAATTCTTTAGGCATCTAACATATCCTCAAGTACAAAAATGTTTACCACCAAATTTACCTCGTGCTCAAGAAACATTTTTTCGTGTGGTTCGTATAATAATCTTTATATTCATATTCACTTTATTGTTTTTGTTAGTTATACGATATAACAACTGATGCAACGTTTTTTGGTTTACAAGAATTTTATGCAACAGCTGTACTTGTTGATATGGTAGCTAAACAAGAGTAAGAAGAAAAATTTTTCTTTTTGTTTCTTCAAATGACTAGTTTTTTCAGTTCAGAAATATGGAGCTCATTATTAGACGATGTTGATTTTAATTATTATCATGATGATGTACTTGAATTACTTGATGAATTTGATAGTCGTTATTCACCAGTAACATCTACAATAAATTTTGATAATCTTGTTGGATTAATTATGAATCGAACAAACAATGGTAAATATGAACGTGTGACAAAGGAATTAGAGAATCGTATTCCTATGATAAAAACAATGAAAGTTACTCGATTAGAATTTATTGCTTTTATACCAATTATTATTTACATTGAATCAAGTCTTGATCATGAAAAACCATTATTTCGTTTTCGAGACAATTCCATACTCAATTCACACATGCAAAAAGCATTATTAACTTAAAAATTTCTTCAATTATTTGTCTGTATTAAAGAAAACATAATGGCAATACGAAATGAAACAGTTTTTTGTTTTGATGAAATCAAATACTTTTAAATGAAGCTAGTAAACTAAATGTTTTCTTTTCTTTTTGTATATGCCATAATTCGTATGATGTTGAAGAAAATTTATTAATGTTTGCTTTAGTTTTATTTTGAAATTATTGTACTTAATAAAAGAATGATTAACTTTTTTGATTCAAAAATTCATCTTATATAAAATTATTCGAAAGGAAAAAGTAGATCGTATTGATTGTTTGTTAGAAAATTTAAATATCATCAAAAAGGAAAATTTGTCTTCGATATAGTAATTTTGTTCGTCCGTATAGTTTACATATTAAACGTTTTCATATAAATAAGTTCAAACACGTTGAAAAAACCTATCATTCATTATGGATTCTGTTCGATCTTTTTATTTTAAATAGAATATTTTTCTCGAGATTTGTAGGAAGAATAGCAAATATTTGCACGTTTTGTGTGAAAATGCGACCTCTATTGACGAAATTCTTTATGTAACTTTTCAAGAAATATTTTAAAATAAATACGTTAGTCTTGTAATTCAGAATTGAACTGTAAGCTTTCTTTTATTTTTAGTTTCTACTTTTTTTGTTATTGCCGGAAATCCTTGGCAGTCTCTCCGGAACAATCCATACCAATGGCTTTCTTGCTTGGATTAAATAAACATTTGTCATTTATAAAAAAATTACTTGAATGAAAAATGAAGTTATGAAAAAGAGAATAAGAAGAAAAAACCACTTATTTTTCTTTTCTCTTATAAGAAAATGAGTATTTGAAGGGCGAGTGTTTGATTTAAAGAAAAAAAGAAAGAAAGAAAATGAAAAATGAGAACACAAAAAAAGAGATTTGTCATAACTGATAATCCATACTTCTCTATTAATAACTCAATAGTTATAGTGATTTTTTTCTTTACTCTCTATAAAATAAGTTATTTGTTATGAAGTATATATGTACCTTTTATTTCACTTTAGAGTGTATCATGTCACAAAGTAATTTGCTGCTTCTATTATATTTTGCATAAACGCCTACGTATGACCAGTTTACGGAGGATAATTTTCTTTCTTTACATTTCTTTTGTTTATTTCTTAGTTTTATCATTTTATTCTATTCGAGTTCATTAAAAGAAAAAAAACATAACAATCATCATGTGTACACATTCAGTAAGTGGATCAAGTCTTTTGTCAGGTTATGATGAAGATGATGTACATGAAACAAGTGGACGATCAAGACGTGAATTTGAACAAATTGATGCTGTACTTTATAATGAAGAAGTACCTAAACGTTCATCTATTAAAAAAATTTGTGATGAATGGTCAAGTAAACCTCATTTTCGAATTCGTGGTCGTTCATATTCTATTGATGTACAACAAGATATCAATCAAATAGAAACAAGATCAAGTATATTATCATCAAATGATCATTTATCTAATCATTTTAAAATATCTAGTTTAGATACCAATGAATTAAATGTAAGTTTAAAGGAAAAAAAATTTAATTTTAAGTAACTATGGAAATAATTCTCAGATTATTTATTCTTTCTTTTCTAACGACTATTATACTTTTAATTAAAACTCAAACACTTGTAAATAGAATTCAAAATTGACAAAGTGCTTTTCAAGGTCAATTTTTTATATGTTCTTTTCTTTTGTGTGTTGAAGAAATATTCCTTCAATTTTTTTCTCTTTATAATTATAATGTATCTCACATTTCCTAGGCCATTAAGATAGTGTCTCGAAACAGGAATATAGCTGTATCTATGTATAATATAGTTACCATATGGTAACTATGGTACAAATGATTGCGTGAGATGACAAAAAGAACATGTACGAACGGATTAGGATTGAAATTGATCGATGAATAGTATCTCAGAATAAAACCTAACAAATCCGTATACACTGCCAAATGACCCTATTTTGGTACATTTCATGACTTATTATTACGATCGTATTTCTCCGTTTGTTATACGAAGAAATATAATCGTTTATCGCGATACACTGAATAGAACGGAAGTCGTCTACGAACTCCGTGAAGGATTATATTCTTCCATCGGTAATAGAGAGAAATACGATCGTAATACTGAGTCATTTAATAATTCAATATATGACAATTTATAGTCGTTTACTGGCGTGTTTCTTTGACCTCTTTTGGAAGTAGCGATCATTGTTATTAAACTATTGAAGGATTCGATCAATTATTCAATACTGTATACATGAGGACGTGATATAATCATTATTAAGATTGAAAAAATAGTCCGAACATCAGATTATGCGTGATATTAATTTTTTTTTGCAATAGAAATAGCGCATATATTGAATGATGAAAAACCGAAATGTTTTCAATTTGAAGTTTTTTATTCAAAATTTAATCATAAAATTAGTATACTGTTCTTTATGATCGTATATCATTCAGACAAATTCAGTTATTCCATATATATGAAAATATGATATTAAAAAAAATTTTTTTTAATCACAGTACTCAATTATAAAGTTTAAAAAAACACTATTAAAGAACAAAAATGAATACAGTTACAAGAGTGTAACAATAAAAAGATTTGACAAAATTTCTTTCGAAATACTAATAATATTGCATATATAAACTGAATTTTATTAGATAAATTGATTTTATGAGCATATGAATCAGATTTTTGTATTACGCAAAAAATTGATTTTATGAAACGAATCATTGTTATCTATCAAGTCATCTTTTGTATGTATCTAGTGCTTTAATTAATGCACCTATATGCATATCTGTATCTCATCAGTCTAGAATCAAGTGAATAGAGTTTCGATGAATGTTATTTGTTAAACAATGAAATTAAAAATTGTCAGTTGACTTTAAGCATAGAAAGTACAAAGTGATACTTGTGTATTTATGAAATATTGTTCCTTGAATAATAGAACAAAGGTTATCATGATTTATTTAAAGCACTTCTCCTCAAAATAAGTTTCCAAGTTAGAATGGTTCAGCTGAACTGAAGCTTTCAGGATTGATTGTTTCTAGAGAGAAACATTTTTTGGTTCAATTTTTAGTCTGATGGACGAAACTACACTGAACTTCCGGGCCTTTGTAGTCCATAAATGACCATCAAAAGATTCGAAAACTGTCAGTGGAAAAGCTATAGAGTTTACAGTGATTTTAAATCAATGCTAACGTTTGTGAATAGTTTTATTCTAATCAAATTTTGGAATTCAATAACAATTTTAGTAGACATGAAGTTAAAATTAGCATTGAAAAGATGATTTGACGAGAGTAAATCTTATTTTTCTCAATACCGTAAGAAATTATAAAAAGATTCGTCAGTCAATAATCTAGAGTCACTTATACCTTTAAAATAGAACAGAAATATTGCTTATAGGTTGAACCATATGGTAGAAGTTTCAGTCTTTATGACAAGACGTTATGTTTTAATAAAAACGATAAATAAGTTTAGAAATAGATTTTTCACTCAAACTCAAGAGAAAAAGACGTTTATTGAATTTAGAGTATCTTTCAATGAGTCTTCTTAACAAAATATAAACGATAAAGACTAATCTAAAGCCATCTTTAACGCTTGCAAAATCTTGTACTCTTCTCTTTCGGATTACGAGCATATTTTTACACTAATGTATTTTCTAGATATGCTTGCTTAGCTACATATTTCTTTGGATAAGTTAATAAACAATTGAAATTTTTTTAGTAACAATACGTAAGACGCTAGAGACTGATTATATATAACGAAGCTTATTCTGCTCTGGATAATAACATATTATGAGTTCTCGTTTTTTCTAGATTTGCTGATTAAGTTATGCTTATATTTTGTTTGTTTAATGCTACATTCATCAAATTTGACGAAGGAAAGAAAGTTGTGATTCCCTTAAAATATTTCTGCATCGCAAAAGACCCATTGTCATTGTTACAAAAAAAAAACACGTAAATTAAAAAATAATCTTATTTCTATCCATCAGAGGTAGATGATGAAAACCGTTCTTTGAAAACCAGACGTTATCTTCATTCTTGAAACATTTGTTGAAACTGTGTTTTTGTGTCTAGGTTTTTTTAGCTCATCTCCTTGTATTGTTTAAGTCTTTATAATAACTTGTCAAAAATATATAACTCACTTAAATAAATTTCAGTTTAGTTTATTGCTGCCAGATTAATGAAATATCTTGAAAGCAATAAAAAAAAGCTGTTAGCTTAACCTCCCACAGAACTAAAAGGTGAAAGACGATGTAACTGCTGTTGCTAATCATAGGAAAATTGCTTTATTCTGGAGCATATTTCTTCATTCGTCCTTTTATTTAATCCTTCAGGAATGTAATAATGAAGTAGTAATGAGATGCTATTGATATATGGTCTGTGATTGTATATCAACAACGTCTGCCACAGTCTATTGTAGGATCCACATTTTTACCACTTTAGTTTAATACATCTTTTAGATCGCGTTTTACAAAATCACAAATACTCATCTAAAATGTCCGTAGGTTGCAATAGTAGTCTCTCAAGTACTGAAAAACTTTTAAAAAATCGCAAAAATGTCTCGAAGTATATGATAGTAGAGCCCAAGTCTTCTTTAATAAGTCTGTTAAAATCTGATTGTTTAATGAAGAGCTACATATAAGCCGAGCGGCTCAGCCATCGTCGTGACATAAATATATATGCTATAGATTTTCGAATGTTTTCGACACTCAAGATCAGTTTTTCAGGGTTCTTCTAATTTAGTTTCTTTTCTATTCTACAATTTCTCGAAACTACGAAAATTGTTAAAAAGGTCATCAAACAATTATAATCACTGTTGATCAAAGCATCGGCTTACTCCTCTAGCTACCTATATTACAACAGAGGAAATTTCGATGCATCGTTCTATAATAAAACTCGATTTCGATTTTTTTTCCAAAAAAGAAATAGCCTTAATTACCGGATTTTTTTGTTGATTTCGTATAGTAATAAATTTCAACTATACTAAAAAAA